CGTCAACGGATGTGCACACAACGAGAGATTACATGGTGCTCGTTTCAAATTTCAATTGCAAGTTTGATTGATAATAATATGGGGTTGATTTCGTGGGGAATAAGCATACGAGTGGAAAGTGGGGCTGCGCTCGTAAACATGGGATTGGACTTTCCATGCGCTATTATCAAGCCACATTTGGCTAAATTGAAGTGACGCACTTCACCCGCACTTTTATTTGCGCTCGTGTCACCGCAATTAAGGCAGCTAAATTTCTGGCTGTTGCGCACAAGTGTGCATGATGCCGCACAAATAAGTTCCCCGGAGAATTTTGGCATAAATGAGCAATTGTAAAGGATCTTACTTAGTTTATTGATAGTGAAGAACTTCTTGAAGCGCCTTGACGTAATGGAAGTAAAGGGAGCAGTAATGTAAGGCATATCATGTATTCCTCACCGTGCCTCGATGCCATTCTCAAGTTGGGAATCTCAACCAACTGGTGTTTTGTGCAGGGACGCTGCCAACGGCAGGTGCACGCAGGACAGCGTAGTTCTCAACCAGGAGTGCTACACACCCGAATGGAATACCATCCAACGGACCTTCCAGTGCCCACAGTTTTCGACAGAAGAGAAGTGCAGCGGCGAAATTGAGGGGTGCAACTGGTGCGCATCATTTGGCAACCTTATCCACCGTTGGAGTTACAGCTGCAGTCAACCCTTGGATCGCGATGACGTTTTGCAAGGAACATGTGTTATGATGCGCACATAACGCTGATGCATAATGCTGCATGGATGCCGAATCGTGTGATCAGTATCTTCTGTTTTCTGTGTGAGCTTTCATTACTGAACAAAAACGCTGGAAGAATACTGCTCGCGTTTCTGCAATACTGGGGATTGAAATTTGGACTTGGATTTTGGTCTTTGAATTCTCTCTTGCGGCGACCTGTGCTTGTATTTGCTGCGGACCTGTTGGTATTTCTAGCAATAACGTACTGCCCACCATCAACAAATTGAAAATGCGCACTTGCAGGGACGACGCAAATGTCTGCGCCATAGACGAGGATGCAGTTCAGAAGGTGGGAGCACATTTTCCCGCGATTTTTCTCTCCTGCTTGTATACTATAAGACAGTGCCACGCTTCTGAATAGTGCACTACGTTCATCGCGTATTTTCTATGTATATATTTTAAAGTACGTTCCCGTAAGCCCATACCAAAAGCAATAGAATAACATGGCACGCATGCACTTGCGGTTGAAACCCATTGCAGCTCTTTAGAAGATTGGCTCTGGGGTTAAGTTGGTGCCTAAGCGCAAAACAAATGGGCAGTTTTGCAGTACCATGCAACACCTGTTACAATGCGACGTGGCTACAAAAAGCAGTATTTGATACTTTGAAATTGTGTACGCTTTTCCCAAAGCCGTAGCAACGCTTCTTCCCGTTTCGGTTATGTTATTCAATTGCCCTCAGCATTCGTCCTTCCTTTCAGTCACCTTGAGCTTGCGACAAACGCAGACGATGATTCAGTCAGCCCGAGCGAAGCTGACCCGCGCCACCCGTTTGCCAACAGTGCTTTCTGACTTCCCCTTTCCCGCCCATCTTCTACCCTTCTTTTGTCGCAACACATCACTGCGCGGTGGTGGGCGTATTGCGTAGTAGTGCACTCACTAGTGGTGGGCGTGCGCAGGCCGTGAACGCGAACGACACCATCAGAGCGGAGCTGGACCAGTTCCAGGCGTGCCTGGACGCCGACAACTGCGCGGCCCCCTGCGTGAGCGACCCTCCCACCGTAGACTGCTTCTACCGGGAGCTCTTCAATCCCACGCGGTTCACGGTCGAGCAGCCGTCCCCCTACTGCGAGCTGCAGGCCGCTCGGGCGGCATGCGTCACGGCCGCCAACTGCTCCGCGCTGCCGGACTGTGCGGCGCTTGCCGAGGGTGAGCGTGGCCCTGGCTTTTCTGTCGGTTGTCTGACAAGTGTAGGATACGATACGCGCTCCGATAGGGACATTGGATGTTTTGCTTTTCATTCCATTTGTCAAACGGTGTTCGGATTGTGTTGGCAGAAGTCTACGTTTCATAGCTCATGGAATCAAACAAACTGCAGAGTTGTTTCGCCAAGATATGGAATTGCTGCTCATTGAACACTTTCGAGCGCATGCTTCCAGAGCTCGGAATGCAGGAAGGGTACCTTGAGATTGCAAACAAAGCCCGGCGAGATGACACGAACTTGCGTGGGCTGCATCACACTCGGGCATACTCAGCCACACTTCATCAAGGCCACGTACGCCGCATCCACACTTGCGCGGTGTTTGTGTTGACGCCCAGCAAGGCGCCAATGCGCTCGGCTGCTTTCAGCACTGACTTGAGGCGTTAGACCCCGCGGGGGGAAAATGTGCAACGAAGAGGAAACTGTGAAGTACTAGCTCTTGCGCCCAATTTGTCCGAACGGTGTGACTATGCCGGCAGTACACTTCTCTGAACATGCGCCCTTCCTTACGTAGGTGATTGCGTCATAACCCCCGAGGCGATCGTGAGGTACACCCTGGCCGACAGCCCCAAGACTCAGAAGAAAGTAACCAAGGCCCTCACCGAATGCACAGCCTTCACCACGGAGGATGACTGCCTAACCCACAAGTGAAGACTTTGGCTTGGGGAATTCCGGCTTGGCGTTGCTCGACGTAAGCTGCACTTCTGAAGCCCGAAACTGAGTCATTTTTGTGAGCAAAAGATCAAATATGCCTTGGATATCTCCTCCCACGCCCCGGAGCATCTTTAATGTCTTGCATGCTACCGTGCATTCTGTGGTTTAACCACTGTGGCAGTACCCGCGCCCATGCCCTGCGTCGCCTCTGATGACAGCTGTGGTCAGCCATAGCCTTGTTTTCTTCTGTTGCACTCATGTGCCGAAACGGCTCCATATGCGAACGGCGAGTCAGCTGTGTGCATGCCTGTCCATTCACAATTCCGACAAAACCAGCCATTGCTGGCAGAATGGTTACAGAGCCAAGTCCCTAATGATTTTTCCTTGTACCCACATTGCATGAAAGAGCGCTATAAGGGTGCTATTTGGGCGCATGCATCTGTAGCACAGGGACTGCTGGATCACAGGGATGCGCATCTCTCCCATTGTTCCCGGGACCAATCTAGATTCGATGTGTATTACACATTTAAAATCGCATTTAGAATGTATCTGTTAATCAATCGATCCGTCTATGCATCAATCTATCAATCCATGACCCAGATGCTAGGTCGATTGCCAGATCTGACAAAGGCCTTTGTGTTGAGTCGACACATATTTTCTGTGTCTACCAGCACATTGCGTTCCTATTACTTTCTCTCCACAAGCCGTGACGAGAATTCGATTGATCGAGATTGGGTGTGCGCCAGGCAAAATAAAATGCGCCGGCTATCCAGGCGAGGCGAAATCTCTCCTTTGGGGATGGGCAAGAGAGGGATGACGCGCGAAGGGCATCTCGGCGGGAAGAGGCGGCGGACTGGCGTTTTTAGGGATGCGTGGAAATGAGACTTGTTCTGACCTTCACTAGGGGAAGGTGTGGGTGGGGATTCACGAGTCCGAGTGCTGGATGATAGGTGGGTGGGTGGATGCCATGAACCTTTCGAGGGACTGAGGGACCTGTGGCTCGAGATCTGAGCGGCTCTCAACATGCGGAGGACGCGAAGGATTCAAAGGAGTTGTAGCGTCGAGCGGATTCTTAAGTTATGGAGCGTTTTTACAGCCGCGACTTGTTCCACGTCTCCAAGGGTTCCGCCTGGAAGGGCCCAACCTGCCCCAATTGGATTGCGAGTTGGGGAAGCTTGCATCTTGGAATCCACCATCATCATTTTTTACAAAAGAAGGCAATGAGTTTGCCGTCAGCATCCTATTTTGCAAAGCGGTGTCTATGATCTTGTCCATCATCTTGGCGTCCCCACAGCCCGTAAAACTGCTGCGGTGTGCCCTCGAGCAGTGCTACGCATCGATGTTGTCCGCTGAATCAGGGCAACGCCTCCCAGGACTGGGCTCATTTGGAGCCGCGCAGCGCAGATTCACAGCAGCCTCACCTTTGCGTAGGGGCAAGGCCAGTCGCCACCTTTCACAAGACACACACTTGGAGGCACTTTGCCAAGCTAGCCTTTCTCGGTGTGTCTTGTACCCGATGGATTGAAGCCGCCCGGGTGTACGACAACAGCAAGGGCAGCGACCGTCCTGAACAGGCAACACTTGGCCCCGCGTTCAACCTTCGTTCCTGGCTCCGTTCCGTTGCCATGCGCCCATGCAGTGCCCACCCCCTTCAGAATTCCACAAGCCCTGAACCCAGGGCGATGTACTGCTTCCCACAGAGCCGCCTCTCGCGGCTCTCGTTCCCCATACCAGCGCCCCTCCCCCAAGAGACGTCCTGAAGTTCATGCACGAAGAGGGTGACCACAATGCAGGCCGTCACTTCATTCCGGCAGTCTTCCCGCCCGCCTGCGCGAACCCCCGCATCAATCGCGAATGTGCCCCGGGCACCGGGACTCCAAGCCCGGGGGAGTGAGCCTGGGGCAGTGTGGCGCATCACATTCCATCAGAAGTTACCGGCGACCCATCCTGGAGAGCGGCGCGCCCGGAACACGTGTCTCACATTTTGGCTCTCTGAAGGTCGACGCCCCCCTCCCCCCCTTCCCATCGACTCATGCAGGCAGGCGGCTAGCTCGCCCCGACCCAAGCCCGCCCGGCATCGAGCTCTTACCCAGCAACGGGGTCTCTCCCCACCCACGGTCAGTGAAGGAGCGAAGCAGCGAACCAGTGAGGCAGTGGAGCGCTGATCCCCTCCGCCATTCTGCCGCCGACTTCTGGGCCCAACTGGGAAGCGCCACAGCCCCTCACATGGAATCCACCCCTGGCTCCCGGCGAATGGTGCCCAGCCCGTGGCTGGCGACGTGGCTCCTGTGCCTGGCCGCGGCGGCCGCGCGGGGCGCCTGGGGCCTCACCTGGCTGCATTGTGCCGACTTCCGGGTGCCGCCCGGCAACGACTTCTACACCATGCCGGAGCTGCTGGACCAGTACGACGAGGCCAGGTGGGCGGGCCGGCGACCGCGAGATCCATGCGAATTTCCCTGCGCCGTGCGGGCGGATCCATGCGGATGGCGATTGGGGGCGCCCATGCGGTGGTGGGGACCATGGGAATGCGCATGGGGATCGGGACGCGTGGGGGCTCGCGATGTGGGCGGCGCTGACGTGAGTGGGTGCCATGGTTGGGCGGTTGGTTTCGGCAGGCGCTGGAACGGTGAAGGTGTGGGCGCAGGTGTGAGGGGTACCCGCGGGGGTTCAAGGACTTGGGGCGGCCGTTCGGCGCCGACAGCGACCTGGGCATCGACCTGAGGGGCGTGGCGCCGGGAGGCAGCGTGTGCGGGGCGGCGGCCCGGAGGCCAGGCCAGCGGCTGGAGGATTTCTACAACGAGGCCTACCCCATGGCGAGGTACAAGGCCGGTCAGAGGGTGTGTTTGGTGAGTCAATATCTCTTATTGCATTCGATTAGAATAGGCACGTGTCGACCGTGTCGGCCAGTTCACCCACCAATTGATAGTGTGCCTCTATATCCAAAGCACGGCCCTTGTGCCTCGTTGAATACACAAGGGGCACGCGCCAGGCGGCATGTTTGCTTTTGTTTTGAATCGCATTGGGCACATGTCGGCAAGTTCGACCCTGAATGCTGCACTGCCTCTACAGTCAACGCACGGCCTCTGCGCCTTGTTGTTCAGGGGCACGTGCCAGCGACGCGTTTGCTTTTTCCTCATTTTATCCGCCTCTCAACTCACCGCCCGTGCCTCGCCGAGCTGCTCTCTCATTTTGAGCAGGCCGCACAAAACGGGGGCGCATCTCTTCCGTAGGCCATTGCCTCCAAATCTCAGGGGCAACTGTGCAACTGAGTCCGCGCTTCGCTCTGCAGTGATGTTCGCCACATTCCGCGTGGAGCAGCACAGGGTTGTGCCGTGCGTCGCACAGCTGACTCATCAGATCTCAAACCGAGAAACTGATGCATAGCCACGTCAGACCCCTCAACTACTGTCCGAACATTTTTTTGTTACATTCAGTTTCCGAGCTCCTGGACTTTCGATGACTCTCGGCTTGTGCTACCGTGGCCACCCAGGTGTACCCATCGAGAAACCACCGGGCGATGGAATTGCCAAGGGCCACAAACACCACTCAAGGGAAGTCCCTATACGGCACGAGCCCCCTGAACCTCCCTGATGGCGGAATGTACATTCTGGCATCGCCACGAGATCCAAAACGCGACCTGACAATCGAGGACCTGTTTGACACGGATGCAGGTAAGAACAGAACCCATGAGCTCATTTCGACTTCCAGAATGCCACCATACGTGTGCCAGCCCTTGGCGCTCGGCCCACAGCGAAGCGCAAAGTTTTTTGGCCATTTGAAGCCGCGCCCCTTCGCCGTTATGGAAATTGCCAAAATTGCGAAAGCAGTACTGCAGAAGGGCGATTGGGCGACACAGGCATGATGTCAGGGTCGTGGCTGCGCCGCTTCCAATTCTTTCGAGCTGGCAATGCAGATTTCAGAACGTCTGAAAAGAGGCATTGTCCTTCATTACATGCGAAAGTTAAACTCAACAACAGAGAAAAATACATCAATGCCCCATCGACATGGCTTTGTTCTTCGAAATATTTCAACCATGGCCATGATCTCCAGAACAGCCGAACAGAGGCACCATTAATATCATTTTGTGTTTCAATAATCGTTCACTTTGACAGAGAGAGATATAGGACACAAGCAAGCCCTTCGTGGCACTGTCTAAACCATCGAGAGCTGGTGCAAGCTCACATAGCAATGATAGCAATTGCATCCAAAGGTCCTGGCTGCACTGCAGCATTCTGGGGCCTGCCGTCAAGCCAAGTGAGCTAGGTTCAAAGGGCAACACATTGAGAATTCTGGGTCATCTATCCCTTTCTAACAAAACAGCCTGCAGTATTTGGTCAGAATGGGGTTGTTCACTCCTGTCCACTGTGTGCCCATGTTCTGTTGTCAGAGGCAATCATCACTGGAATAAGGTTCCTAGTACTGAGCTGCACTGCCCGTAGCTCGTTGGGCAGGCAGCCCATGCAGCCACCCAGCGACCAACAACCCCGATTTGCCCCAAGCAGTATGCGTCCCAAACTGCCTCTGGCGGCATTTTGCAACGCGCTCTTCTGTAGCAGCCAGGAAACTCCAAACCACCCTCCCATGAGGGAGACATTATCAGGCCCTATGCTTCCAAGCTATCCCATGGGAAAAGTGAGCATGGATGATCTTATACCATAAAATAGTCAACCCTTCCGCATAGTAACGTAGCGCTTACCCTCTTTTTGCTGAGAAAAAATAGTAAGTAGTGTCGTACCGCTTGGCCTTTTTTTGAGGGACGTGAAAAACATAGAAATAGCGCTGTGGAAAACAAATTGCAGAGCATTTCAACCACTGAAGAACTAAGAATCGCGCACCCAATCGCGATATTCCTCCTCCCCTTCCGCTGACGACTGTGCGCACCCCACCCCCCGCAGGCGGCCTCAGCACGCCCAAGCCGGCCCGCGTGCTGGCCCCCCTGGGCGAGAGCGCCCCGGGCGTGGACGACATGCGCGGCTACTCCAACTGCCCCGCCTTCGGCGTCAACGACCTGCTGGCGGGCATCGTCCCAGACGACGCCCTGGGGCGCGACGCCTGCGGTCAGTGCTTCATCGTCCCGCGCGACCTCGCCCCCGGCGCCTACACCTTCCACTGGTTCTTCCGATTCAACAACAAGGAGGACGGCTTTGGGATAGAGCCTGGGGAGCCCGACGAGGACTTCCTGACGTGCTTCGACGTCGTGGTGGAGAAGGGAGGGGAAGAGGACGCCGCGTGCCCGCTCGCGGGCGACGACGGCGGCTACCCGGGCAACGTGCCCGGCACGGGGCGGCACGCCGGGGTGCCCAGTCCGACAGGCTACACCGCCGGCGGGCCGATCGACCCGTCCAGCATCCTGCCCTGCGAGGCACCCGCCCCGTCCAAGGCCTCCCCGCTGAAGCCCAAATCCCCCCCGCTCAAAGAATCCCCCTCCACCGCGAAATCGGGCCCCAAGATGCCGCAGGGAAGGGACGGGGATTCCGACGCCGAGCCGATCGGCGGCTGCGCCGTGCAGTGGGGGATCCTGTTCGACGGCGCACGCCTGAATGGGAACGGCACTGATCTCATCCTCGACACTTCGCTGGAATGCTGCGCGGCCTGCCGCGCCCACGCCCCTTCGCCCCCCGCCCGCCACCGCTGCAACATGTTCGCCCACTGTCCCATTGACGCAGATCCGGCTGACTGCCCCCCGGGCGCATGCCGCCTCATGCACAGCCCCCACCCTCCCGTCGTCAATTTCGACGCGCCGGAAAAGCCAGGATGGGCCTCGGGGCTGTCGAGGTGCCGCGGCCGCAGGAAATGCGCCACGCCGACATGCAACGGGTGGGTGGAAGTAGGATCCAAGCGGCCGGGCGGGAACGCGACGTTCAATGATGCCGGGGGCCTGGTGGTGGCGTCGCCGGAGGCGTGCTGCGCGATGTGCGAGGGCCACGGCGAGTGCAGGGCGTGGACCATGGACAGGCGGACGGGGGCCTGCGCGCTCAAGGCCTGGGCGCCGGGGCAGGTGGGGTGCCGGAAGGAAAGAGCCCGCGGTTTTTCTGGTTTTAGGACATGTGTCAATGCAGAACAAAGTGCTTTTGCAACAATATTGTTTTCTGGATTTCTATCGCTGGGTTCCTTTGCGTGCGTCTTTTTTGGTGGCTTGCTGCTTGCAAGGGGAAAACGTGTGTGCGAATTTGAGAGTTTTTGCGGGCGTTCCTGTTGTTTGTCTTGAAACACCCTTTCAGGACAGTTTAGTGTAAGCAAGTACTGTAAAGTACTGAACCTCATACCATCGTTGACAAAAAGTTTCGATTTTCTTTCGTAGTCTTGTTCTCGTCTTTTTCTCCGTTCTTTCTTTGTGGCTGTCTTTTTGGGCTGAATGGTTGGGGCAGGGGGTTGAAGGCCTGGACGCCAGGGCGGGTTGGTTGACTGGGCTTGCGAGAAAAAGTTGTGCGCGATTTTGCGATTTTTCTGGGATTTTTTGTCCTTTTTCTTATTTTTGTTTTGTAGTCTCTGGTTGTTCTGTTTCTTTTCTTGTGGCTTTCTTTTTGGGTTGCACGGTGGGGGGTGGGGCGTGGACACTGGACAGGCGGAAGGGCCCTGCCTGCTCAAAGCCTGGGCGCAGAGTCAGGGGAGTCTTGACGCTGAGGGAATTTCTTGTGCATTTTTTCCTGCATTCTTCTGGTGCGCAGTTCATCTCAGTACTTGTGTTCAGGTGGCGGACCCCAACTACTACAGCGGCATCCCCAACAGCGAGTCCATCGCAGGCGAAATGTTGTCCGAGGCCCCCTGTCCTGTGGAGTCCGACGTGGATTTCCCGGGTCCGGCGCTTGCCACGGCGCGGCCCATCATCGCGGCAGACAGCGCGGCGTGCTGCAGGGCGTGCGAGCGTCACGCGAAATGTTACGCCTGGAGCAGGGACAAGGTCACTGGAGAGTGCCAGCTGAAGGGCAGGATACTTGGGCGAGTGGCAAACGAGTCAATGGAAGGGGGCACCGCCCTATGAGCTATGAGCATTGTGCCTTGTGCGACGCAGACCTCGGTCGAATGCGCTAATCATCACGAGCAAATCCTATCTGCAGAAGTTGGCATGTGGCGATGAGCTCCCTATTTTGCCCAGGGAAAACGGTAGGAATCTGCACTAATTTGCAAGAAATTGGCGCTGGTTGCAATTACCAGATATGCGATAAGGCAGTGCCCGAGCTGGGGCGATTGGGAGATGCCGGGACCTATCTGGTTGCTTTTGTTGCCTTTCGAGCTATTTGATCGGTTGAAAGCCACGTGGTGAATGATTAGCGCGTTGGGAACGACATGCACCGAGCAGTCATTTTCGAAGTTGCGGCCAACACTTGCGTGATCTAGAGCGGTGTTGTCACTTCTTGAATCGATCGCGATAGCATCATTGCGTATACATATATTCCACGTTGTCATGTTGGGGCATAGCTTTGCACAGGAATAATGTGCGGAACAGAAATGCTGCCGCTTCTGCTTATGAAACGGTGGACTTGCGACACAGTTGCATGGATGGCTGTTCTGGCTCGGTTGCCTGTTGTATGAGGCTCGCCAGGGTGATTCGTGCACACCCTTCTGGAAAGGAGGGGGAGTTGGGCGAGACTCCAACGGACGGCAGCTGAAACGTACCTGTTGGCATTTCATGTAATTAGGATTTTGGAGCCAAGTGATCAACCGCTGGTCCATTCTTCCATTCCAATTTGTGTCTGATATCTGAAGTGACATCACAGTGCTTCATCAGTTGATCAGCCCATTCAACATGGAGTGACCACGCGTGTTGCGGCACCACTGACTTTACGTGGGTCACCCAGAGCGCAATCCCGGTGATGTTTGGGGCACGAACGCCGTTTCCATCACACGGCTCTCTTGGCCGTCGCAGCGCCGTTGCCGCCACACAACAAACTACTGTGAGGCGCTAGGCCTCGCACCAGTTTCCCAAAACGATGGTTGTCCCCCATGTCCTCTACGAGTGCTTTCAGATCGATCTGGAAGCGCAGGAGGAGATCGCTCCCTGACGGTCTCGAATTTTTCAAAACATCGTGCTGCTTGGACGTCCTCTGCTCTTCGTGCCACTGTGTGTGGACACGCAGGTCCAACGGATCCGTTGCCAGCTCCGGAGCTTGATTTGGTACTTCCCAGATACGCTCCTGGCATCCCCGTTGGACTTCCTGCGATTGGGCGCACTCATGTGCATCAGGCTTGAGTGTTCCTGTGCGCGTCGCAGGAGCGAACCACAGGGCCTGTGCATCACCTGGCCACCGAGCCGAGGCCGGGTCGCCCAGCATGCCACTTGCAGAATATCACCGTTTTGCACACAACTCCTAGCTGCGCCCAAATTGTGAACACATAGTTAACATTGAGACGCGACCGCATCTGGTATTTGAGGTCTGAATCGTGTTACATGGAGCCAATTCTTGCTCTCCTAACCGCTATTTTTTCTACTATTTTTGTCCAGCGCAGCCGATTCCTCTAACGCTTGGGGCTCAGGGAGGGAGGTTCGCCGCTTGCTCTGGTCCTTTAGTTTTGTGCGCACCTCTGCTCGGCCCATCGTAGCTGCTATGAATCTCATTCATTTGTGTTGCATGAGTGAGAACAGGCCCAGCCATGGCATACATTGGCATGCTTTGTTCCGCACTGCAATGATGGGAGCACCGCAAAATGGTGTCCATCTAACGTTGCCCACGTTTTGCTGTAAGCATGTGAAACGACATATTCAATGAACCATAGTGGTATAATGCGCTTCTTGGTGATCGAGGTGAAAATTATGGGGTTTTGCTAGCTGCTGCATATTATACTGGCTGTGCACCTTGCCGTGACTTTCCATGGTGCACCACGTGCCTGGGCTCCTGTCAACTTTGGGAGTTCAGCGCTGTTCTCCACATCTGGACGTGGGAGTGGTGGCGCAAGCTCCTGAGCTAGTGTGCTCCCATAACCTGGTGTCGATCGACATTATGCACAACATCCTAAATGCGGGACTCACAGTAGAGGCCGAGGGGATCTTCAGCCGGCTTGTTTTGCAGCGACTGATTCAGTTTTTCAAATCATGCTTGGTTTTAACGTTTGCGTTTACGTTTTTGCGTTTATGCTTTTATGCATAAAGACGCAAAAATTGCAAAAGGAGCTATTTCACGGCGTTATTTGCGTATTTTTACAGCTCGCTGGGGCATCCAGGTCACATGATAAAGTCGCAAGGAGTGATCCGTCCTCCGCCTCCTCGAGCACCCGCAACACACTACCCCACCTCGCCCTCGGCAAGGGCAAAGACGTGGTCGAACAAAAGGTCATTTTCTGCTCACCCTAGCGCACCTAGCTGCCACTCCCCGGGCTCCCTGAGTCTGGCTCTACTGTCTTTATGTACACCAAGTCAAATTTTACGTATTTTCACGCATGTTTTATGCGTAAAGACGTAAATACCATTTTTACGTGTAAACACGCGTAAATACTCAGTGTTTACGCTGTCAAAACCAAGCATGTCTCGAACAGCACCCACAGCGGCGAGTTTGCTTTTGAGAATGATTGCGGCTTATAAACAGGGCGATCTTCTCCCGGGGGCCCAAGACGAATCTTCAGAGTGTCAATGCTGTGTCCAAACCCCATTGGCATTCTTTGCCGACGGAGGCGCCATGAACCATTGGATTTGCTTCTGTTAAGGCTAGGCGTTGAGTGATAGCTAAAACTCTTATCCCAGCGTGCTCACAGAAACCGCGATTACACCACATAAGTGTGTTAAAATCGGGTTCGAAAGGACCATATTATGACGCAATTTTACACAGTTTTCCACAATTATACACGATTTTGCACTGTGCAAGATAGCCGATGTTTTACTAGTATGCTCGAGGCCAGCTCAAACGAGGGGCTCACCCAAGGCCTTGCAAGGCGGCTTCCAGGCAAAACTTGGGCTTGCACTTCTGTTTGTATGGCTCTAAAGTCGAGCACAACTTCGTTGCCAAACGGCAGGACCAAACGCGACTAGAACTGTTCCTGTCTCGCAGCCACCGGCTTGCCTGTTTGTAGCCCCAGGATCCACCTCATCACATGCGCCCTTCAAACAGCTCAAACACATGCCCACTCAGCGCACATCCAAGTATAACAACTGCGATAGATGTCCTTTTCACACAGCAATCAGTTTGGGGCATGGGCCAGTGGAGCACGGACTCTCTACGAATGGAATCTCTATCATCAAAACACAATGACGAGGCAGAAATACGAAAAGAGAAGCCTGGCCTTTCAGCAGCGCTCCACCGCTCAAGCACAACCTTTCTGACTACTCGGATCGTTCACGTAGACATTTTGCAAGCGCTAAATACACTTGCAAAACAAAGTAAACAAACAATTCAAAGCACTGTAAAGTTGAGACAAAAACGTGACCACCGCTTCCCTGAAAAATCTCTCGTGGACAAGATATCGGCGCCTCAACAGGATCTCACTATTGGCGACGTTTTGGAGGTGTTGAACTCGATGTTAGTCATTGTGCCACATCAACACAATGATGAGTTCGTGGCAAAAGGCACCTTTGAAAAAGGTAGAATTCGTCGGGAAGCGCCGGCCCCTTCATCACAAAACTAATGCGATCGGTGCTGGATATATTAATGAGAATGTAGGCCGTGTTGCAACAGCTGAATATCGACACAATAGGCTAAAAGGGGCAGTCGTCATACTTTGAAAATGGCTCCCATTCATGGTAGAATTCTGGGTAGAACATGCAGTTTCAAGAGCGCTCCAATGGTGGGTGCAGTTGGGCAGCAATGCTCAACCGATAATGATGATTAGGTGAGCTGGCGAGTGTACGAATGTTGTCCAGTACCTTGGGGTGCACGTCCGCGGTTGCCGTCATGTGTTGTGTCATGACGTATGATGTTATACAGCAAACCTCGGACGCTGAGTCTCGGGGCGCCTCAGAGGCGCACACGTGGCGGCGGCAAGTTGCGGCGACGCGCTCGAACCTGGGTGCGAGGGCGTGGCTGCCAAGCCTCGATGACGACGAGGAGGATGGCAGAATCACATGGGCTACGTTGCGCTCCTTGCATGGGAGCGGTCTGCTTTGGCGTGCATGGAATTTGCATGCCCTCAAGGGGCGGCGATGAGCCCAAGGGGCGCTCGAATCCACGACGTGCGGGACTGCTAGGGGGGGCCTGCATGTGAAGACCTGCCCAGCGATGGGGGGCGCGATAGAGGCGCTGGAGCCCGTGGCGGAGGCATGGAGGAGCAGGCGAGGGCACATCCTGGCGATCGTGATGAAATTGATGCTGGACGATGGTGATTGTTTGATGAGACAGCAACCTGTGAAGCCATCGAGCTGGTTATGATCCAATGGTTGCAAAAGGATAGTGCATTTGATGGTGAAGCTGTGGGGGTGGCACTTGACAGTGACCTACGAGTGGATGGCACTGATGCTGGGATCAGTGGGAATCATTGGACGTAGGGATGGTGATAGGTAATAGATCACAACAGTGACCGGGAAACTGATGGGACAGGCAGGGGATGATCTAGGAAGGTGGCCAATAGTGATCCGAATTCTTGGAGAATATTCCAAGGATCCTCGGACAAGGAAGGCAGCCAGCCGGGGCTATAAATAGGGGGGGGGATGCAGGGGATTCGAGACAGCCACTCACCGTGGGAGCTGACTTCCGAGCTGTTGTTTTGGACGAAAATGTAACATTTGCCTGGTTGTCCATGAAAATCCTGGAGCACCTCCTTGTGTGCGAACGTCTGAGTGCCGTCCAAGTGCAATTGCTGCAAGCGATCGGCTTTGGAAACGTGGCAGGGACCGAGTCCGAGAGCGTGGGCACTGCCCCATTGTTGTACAACATGTGGCGCGTCGATTTGCGACGTGTACAATGATCGTGACGTTGCATTGCATTCGCATGGTGATTCGGTGAGTTGCATGAGGGTTTGGTGAATAGCGATCGTGAGAAAAGGAACATCGGACGCTTAAGAAGCATACGGAAGTGAAGTGTGAAAGCCCTGTGACGACCGTACTTCTGCAGAACTTCT